GTGCCTGTTTGTCTACCATTATTGTGATGAAAATGGTGTAATGAATAGTATTTTTTGGAGAATGTGTGGTTAAAATTGAAAGAAACTTTATCGGTTTATGTGTAGAATATTTTATTATTTGAATGTGTGGTGGAGATTGATTATTGTAGAAAACAATGTTTTGAAAAATGGTAGACAAACCGGGGTATATCTGTTGGTTTGCTTAACATAAGATGTAATATGACATTTAGTTATTTGAAAATGATCAACTTGAAATAAAGTGAAAACATAAGTGACTAACTTGGAACAAAATATTTTCATCGACCAAAATGAAATTTCTCAAAAACCTGGGTGGCAACTGGGTTTTTAACAAGTTACTCTAGTAATGAACACAGATTGAATGAGACGGAACAATAATATCGAAACTATAAAAAACTTACGAGGGCGTATACATGAGGTATTTGAGAGGAGGAAAAATGGAGAAAAGCCTTTGAGGAATGAGCTCAAAGTTGCAATGTCCCATATTGTTCATGAGATCAATGTAGGTAATGTAACCAAAGATAGATGCCATAAAGGCAGTATCGGTCACCACAGTTGTAAGCATTGGAATTGCGAATAGCAGAAAATATGCTATATGCTCCGCAAATGGATGTATAATAGCTGCCATGGCAATAAAAATAACAAACTTAATTAATAACATCATAAAAGACTAAGGGCTTTGGCTGCAATTTTTCCCATAAATGTAGATTGAAAACTCATGGCCAAAAGTTTTAATTTGCACCAATTTCATGTGGTATCTTCCTTACCAGCATGTAGGTCATAATATTGTCATTTTTAAACAATTTTATTCTCCCGAGTACAAAAATTGGGATAATTTAACCTGGACTTATTATGAAAAGAAATGGTTCACTCCAACTAGAGGTGTAAATATAGGCTACATTAAGTTCGTGTTTGTCAAAGCTTATAATCGATCATAAGTAATGGCTCTCGGGAGACGTGTGATTAAAAAGTAAGTAAAAAATGTGAGTTTACGAAATGTATAAATAAAAATAAATTTGACTAAATTACTATCAAATTATAAGCTTTGACAAACATGGACGGACATATCAGTCTTTTTTTAATTTGTTTTTATATATTCAAATTATAAGCTAATAACAAAAAATGACATTTGTTGGTTGGTCCACATTGAGAGATGGATCTTCGTCGAGCCTTGTTTTGTGTAATTCACTAAGGTCTGTTTGACAAGATTTTTGTTTTTACTTCTACTTTTTGTAAAAGAGCCTCATCTTCCAAAAGTGTTATTAGAGGAAATGGGTGGTGCAATGCTCCGTGCAGCCAGTAATACAAATACTCCGCCGGCCCGGCATGAAGCAATATTGTCATGATTATACCTTCGGTCCTCCAAATTGGCAGCTTAGAAGCTCTATCCAGTGTCGTATTAAAAATGCAGAAGAGAAGTCCATTCAATAGAATTGGATCATCCCAATTGGTTTCTCTATCAACTTGTTCAAATTCAATGCTCTTATCGACAATTCTGTTGTTGCCTTTGGCCGTTCTGTGACGAGAAAATGAGATCCATATTTGGTTGTGTAGTGCCCTCCATAACAAAAATGGTATTATCGTAATGTTCAGATAGTCCATCTCGCTTTTCTCTTTTGTTGCTAATCCGTAAATAGTGTGAATTGCCCATGACTCAATATTACATACTGAAAACCACAGCACGAAAATTACATAATTTTATGTTAGAAAAACAAGGTCATCGTGCATTTTTTCAAGAAGGGACTTTAAGGTTCCTCAGCCAGACGTGACATGTTTGGTAGATCGTACTGGATAATACAATAATAGAAAATATTTGTACAGCAGAACCATATGGGACGGGGTGGCGACTGCTCCAGCAACATTATGAAGTTTATGTAGAAATTTTGAAAATTTTAATATGTACACATAATACATGTATATTTTATCCGTTCACCATTTTTTTGTTCCCCGTTGTGAAAATTGTGGTTCCGCAACTATTTGTAATTGACTCGGAGCTAGTTTGTGCGGTCTTGGGGGTGAATAATAAGAAAGAAGAGAATTTTTAGGTTTTCTGAATCATAACAATGCATGTTCGTAGCCATAGACAAAGGAAAAGTAGTTTTCCAAAATGAAGAATAAAGAAATTATAATTATTAATTGTGTTTAGTACCTTAAAACTTCCGAGCTTTTTCCATCGCCACTCAGTGAGGAACCCAGGTGTTGTGGCCATTTTTGGCTCCTCAGTTCTCACTCCTTTTCTGTCAGAAGCTGTCTCATCAAAGGGTCTTATATATAGGAATCATGCTACACTTACAGATGAGCAGGGGGTGGGTTTTTTTTTTTGGATTTTGCTGAATGTCCCGGCTCAATGACCGGGACATTTGACAGGGCGCCGAGGTGG